CTTTACCGTTATGTTGTTGATAGCCCTACAATCCACGCACATTCGTCATGTTCCATCCTTTTTTGGCACAAGCAAAATCGGTACCGCATAAGGACTCATGCTTTCCCTCACGTATCCTTTGCTCATTAACTCCTCTACTTGCCTTTGAAGCTCCTTAGTCTCCTCGGGATTACTTCGATAAGCCGGTCGATTTGGAATGACAGCTCCGGGTATGAAGTCAATTTGATGTTCAATGCCTCAAATAGGCGGCAATCCACTTGGTGTATCCTCCGAAAATATATTGTCGAATTCCTGCAATAAAGACTTAGCCAAACTAGGGAGGGGTGGGTTAGTTTCCTCAAAATTGAGGAGTGATTCCTTATAAACGAACAAGATCACTTTCTTTTCTCTCAACTACCGCCCTCCTCAAATCACTTTCTTTTGCAAAGAAATTCGCTCGTGTTTTCTCTCTTCTCTCGGGGCACTCTCTTTCTTTTCTCTCTTGTGATTGCTCTTTTTCTCTCTAATGACTATCTCAACATTTTCTCTCTTTTTCTCCAACTCACTATTTGCTCTCATTTTTTCTAACTCTTTTGCTCTCTTCTCTTTCTCACTTCTCAATTTTAATTGGTCCTCATATACTTGCATCGGTGTTAATGGCACAAGAGTAATGGTCCTTCCATCCTTAATGAAACTATATCAATTTTTGTACCCATCATGCATAAGCTTCCTATCGTATTGTCATGGTCGCCCCAATAAAATATATCCCGCTTGCATTGACACCACATCACACACTAACTCGTCCTTATAACTCCCAATTGACAAATTAAGTAGCACCCTTCGATTCACCCTCATCTCGCCACTCTCATTCAACCATTGCAATTTATAAGATCTCGGGTGTCTCAACAATGTTAAACCCAATTTTTCTACAAGGGATACACTAGCTACATTAGTGCAACTACCACCATCAATTATAACACTACATACCGTATTTTTGACGTGGCATCAAGTGTGGAATATGTTCTCCCGTTGCAACTCCAAGTCATCCGCTTTGACATGAGTAGTAAGAGCTCGCCTTGTGACTAGTAGATCGCTAACCGGCCCTTCAACTTTTTCTTCTTCACTAACATTCTCCAACGTCGGCATGTCATCAAACTTGTCATCACTATCGCTCACAATCTCTCCATTATCCCGCATCACCATCGCCCGTTTGTTTGGGCATTGAGAAGCAATATGCCCCATTCCCAAACACCTAAAACATTTGATGTCCCGATTGCGAGATGGTTGTGCCTTCGGTTTTGATATTGGTTTGCTAGCGTTTTCATCCTTGCCCTTTTGCCAATCATTTTTACCTCTAGGTATAGCCCCATTTTTGTTGTTGTCATCCCACTTCGATTTCCATGTTGGATTAGGAGTCGAAGTACCTAACGGTTGCCTAGACGTCCCCTTCCTCTTCAACTGCCTCTCGACCTTCATTGCCACATGTAACATGTCCTCGATTTCCACATAGTGTTGCAACTCTACAATGTTTGCAATATCCCGATTTAACCCATTCAAGAACCGTGCCATGGTAGCTTCCCGATCTTCCTCCACATTAGCCTGAATCATAATAATTTCCATCTCCTTGTGATAATCCTCTACGCTTTTCGATCCTTGGTACAAACCTTGCAATTTTTGATGGATTTCCCTATAATAGTGACTCGGAACAAACCTCCTCCTCATCAACACCTTCAATTCATCCCAAGTGCTAATTGGTCTTTCCCAACCACTACGCCGTGATGTAAGAACTTGATCCCACCAAGATATCGCGTAATCCACAAATTCAAGCACCGCCAATTTTACCTTTTTCTCCTCCGAATAATTATAGCACTCAAAAATCATCTCAACCTTCCTTTCCCACTCTAAATATGCTTCTGGATCGCTTCTCCCCTTAAATTGCGGAATAGTCATTTTAATACTTCCCAAATTTCCATCTACTTCATGTCCCCAAGTTATTTCTACCTCGTCTTTCCATCCTATCGTCTCTATGTCTCGCTCGACCCATATCAAAGTCATTTTCATCAAAATCATCCTCATCACTATGATACTCATCTCGCCTTCCTCTCCTAGATTTACGCCTACCCGGCCCCCTAGCATTAGACATCTCCGCTTGTCCTCGATTAAGATTAGCAATTGAAGTACCTATTTGCACCATCCATTCCCCTTGCCTATCCACCTTTTCCCTAACATCACCAAGTACCCGTTCAAACCTCCGTATCATGTCCTCCGAAGCATTGTTTTCATTACCGTTTCGGCTTGAGTTGGAACCTTCTCTTTCCGACATCATATCACACAATTTTTTTTATGCCTCACAAAGATTTCACTCAGAAAACACTCACTATGGCTTTTTCCCTCTATTAAACTCACCACTCGATCTTTTACCACTCAAAGTCTCGCTCTAAGCACTTCAAAGAACCAAGTGAATTAAATCAATTGTTTTACCGGGAATTCAAACAAACCGAATATTAATCGAAGACCACGAGACTCAAAGGACTTGAATAAATGGAATAGATGAATGTTTTGACAAGAATATGTGAATAGACTCAATAGAAGATTGAAAAAAAATCGAACCCAATTGAATATCTCAAAATCAAACACAATGTAGGAATTGTTGTTGATAGAAAAACAAAATCAAACAATAATAATATCAAATTTTTTCCTCCTTTTTTTTTATTTACTCCCTGATGAAAGAAGATGAGTAAACTACCAACAACTCAACGAAACGACGAAAAGAAAACAAGAACAAAGAAGAACTAAGAAATAACAATTAACGACCCAAACAAATAAAGAAAAGATATAACTTTCAATTAATTTGGAACCAAAGCTCTGATACCAACTGATGCGAACCCCGTAACAACGTTGACTACGAAACCCACAACGAGATTGACGAACCCAAGAAAGCCAAATTAATCCAAGAGTTTAGGATTAATCCAAAAGCAAGTCGAACGAAAAAACCCAACAAGAACGACGCTTGAAAGACCCCTTGATCACGCAATCCAAGAATTAAATCCGGTTGTTTGAACGCCACAAGTTAACACTTGATAAGTTCGAAGTTGTTCAATGAAGAATGATAAGAGAAGACAATACGCCTCACTTTAATTCAATATCAATAATATCAAAAGTTTTTAACAATTGAATGAAAACTCCTATTTATACTAAACCTAAAAATTAGGTAAAAATCGTGCAAAAGTCGATCATAATCCCCACAATATGGAAAAGAGTAAAAAACTAACAAAATATGAAAAATTGCCAAAATTAGAAAATTCGCCAAATTTTTGAACCATGCGGTACCATGGTTCAACGAAAAATCCATCTTGAGTTTCGGTATGCCTCCATGCGGTCGCATGGTGTTTTAGCTGTGCGGTCGCACAGGCTTGTTTTCAGCTTCCGGTTTCGTCGCTTGATAACAACATGATCCAAGTTGATTCGGCCTTCGACCCGAACATGAAAGTTGCTCCATTTTGAGTCCCGAACATGGTTCCATCAATGGTTTCTTGAACGAACAATCACATCGCTTGTTTCACTTGCTTTGCTCTTGATCGCATTATTCGCCCGCCATCGACTATCAACGAATCTCGTCTCGCACTCGCCTTCGTCGGGCTCAATTCCTGGATCATATCACGTAGGAATGTTTTTCACACTATAGACCAAACGTAGGGACGTTTTGCGTTATTAGGCATTTTAATAATTATTTGGACTCACTTACACTTTTTAAAACATTTAGGAGTAAGATTGTAATTTATTCTTTATTTTTCTTTTCTTTACTTTTTGGGTTATATTTAAATAGGAGGGTATTTTGGTCATTTTACATTAAAAAATGGTGAAAAGGACATTTTCCGCAAAGAAAGGTGGAAATAAGGGCAAAAATGTCAAAAAATAAAAGGTGAGGACATTTTCCACAATAAATCTTAAAAGTAGGGAGGTTTTGGGCCAATTACCCATTTTTGAAACAATTAACTCTAATATTTCAAGTCCTGCTTATAATTTCTCTATCATCTAAGAACTTCCATTTTCTCTCTCATTACCCTACATGCATACTGACAATTCCCCTGGTCAATTGCTAAAATATCAGTTCTCTACATATCTTCCATGCCAACTAGTTTGTGTTGAAATTTTTTTAATTAATTGGGGTCACACATGTATATGATTAAAGTGTGCGTTGCTATCTTATAGTTTTAATCCATTAAAGTGATCCAATGAATTTAATTTTGGACTAATAGATATCAATTATTAGGGGATTAAAGAGCAGAGACTAGGTAGTTATTTAAATTGATGAGGAGCCAATTTAAAGCAAATAAAAGATGATAACTGCCTAGCAGCTATTTATCATGGAGTCATGGTCCCCAATTGACGTGATTTTTTCATAACCTCTACATACCCATCAACAGAGAGTTTTTTCAAGAATTCTAAGGGAAATCACGAATCAAATGGAAGATTGTAACCCGTTCAAAATCAATTACAATTATGGATCAAGGTACGCTTCTGCTTTCTTGTTCTCTTTGATTCAACGTGGAGCATTGAAATTTTGGTGAAATGATCTGTTGATTTCTTTCAAATCTGAATTATCAAAAAAATTCTATCAAGTGGTATCAAAGTTACTCCATTGTTGAATCTTTGAGAAATAAGGGTTTTATAAATTCTGAAATTTTTGGTTATGTGATCTGCTTTCTTGTTATTATATGGAGTTTGACGTGTTTCTATGGATCAGTGTTCTTCATGGAACCATGTAACTTTCATTTTTCATATGCTTACAAGAAAATCAGATTTGTGATATTATTTGGAAAGATTTTATGTGGGATCCGTGTGATGTGTCAAGCACTCATGTTTGAATTATTAGAAATAAATTGGTTTTGAATCCATTAGTGGCTGTATCTGCATTTGTTAATTTGGGAAGAAAACAATTGTTTATGGTTGCCACAATTTACATTGTCAGACAATTCATTTATATTTTCAGATTTCCATTGTAAATGAATTGTTTAACAATGGCAGCAGCAGCGTGGTGCCGACCTGCACCGGAGCCGTTGCGCAAATCGCTGCTCCACGCAACGCTGCTGCGTTCGTTGCAGTAGCAGCGTGGCGCCGATGCAAGGCGGCGTCGGTGCAGGAGAAAGAGAATAAAAAAAATTCGGTTTCTGGGTGAATTTTTGAATTTTTGGGGATGGGGGCTTCAGGTGCAATTTGGGTAATTGCAGGACCAGCTTGCAATTATCATTTAGGTTAAAATTTAAGGATTCAGCCCCTGTAATTTAGAATTCATCCAATTGGGCCTTTTAAGTTACGGGTTTAATAATTCAGCCCCCTAAGTTTGAAAATTAATTAATTTGGGCCATTTAACTTTTGAATTTTGCAATTAAAGCCCTCAATGTTCATAATCAATTAAAATTGGCCCCTAAAGTTTTAAATTTTTCAAAATTTTAACCCCTAAAGTATTGAATTATTAACCCCAATGTCCCTAAAGTTTCCATAGGCATCTATTGATGCAAATTGGGGTTTCTCTTTCTCAAATTTCGGTACTAATACTTCTTTAAAAGGTATTAATTAAAGTTTAATTAATTAGGACAATCTAATTCAAAATTTTGGTAATCATTTATAAAACTTAAGGTTGTCTAGCATTTTAAGTAAACTAATTGAAACAATATGTCATCAAAGTGACCTCTTTTGTGTAGATTGGTTTGTTTAGGATGCTTGGATGTTGTGTGTGTGTCTTTTCATGCGAAAATTAACAGACCCAAAGGAAGGTTAATATCTGGCCGAATTACATACACACTTGTGGTGATGAATGTGTGACAATTATAAGGTTTCCATATGAATAATAAATCAATCCAAAGATGGGTTTATTATTTGACAGGAGTTATTGTCAATGTTTGATCACTACACTGAGAGTACCAATTGCAATTAATATTACTGTCCAAAGACTTGATGTTGATGTTGCACTATGTATCTTGAGATGGGATTTACCATTATTTGAATTTATCAATTATTAAATGTGGATATTAAATCGAGCATAATTAATCATTTTTTTTTATTTTGTTCTCTTTACAGCTAGCTCATTTGCTACTATATCTGTCAATATTAACTCTATTCCCATACTTAATGGGACAAATTTCAAGGATTGGAAGGAGAACATATTGATTGTTCTTGGCTGCATGAATCTAGACTTTGCTCTTCGGACCGAGCAACCCACTTCTCTTACGGAAGAAAGTTCACCTGATGAAAAGAGGAACTTTGAGAAGTTGGATTGCTCAAATCACATGAGTCTGATGATCATTAAGCGCGACATTTCGGAAGCCTTTAGAGGTGTAGATACCGAAGAGGTATCTAATGCCAAGGAGTTCCTTGCTGAAATTGAGAAGCGTTTTGCTAAAAACGATAAGGCTGAAACAAGCACTCTTTTGTAGAGCTTGATTTCAATGAAGTATAGAGGCAAGAGGAACATAAGGGAGTACATTATGGAGATGTCTCACATTGCTTCAAAACTTAAGGGATTAAAGCTCGAGCTGTTTGATGACTTGCTCGTCCATTTGGTATTGATCTCGCTTCCTGCACAATTCAGTTAATTTAAGGTCAGTTATAACTGCCAGAAGGAAAAATGGTCTCTAAATAAGCTCATTTCATATTGTGTGCAAGAGGAAGAAAGGTTGAAGCAAGAAAGGACTGAAAGTGCTCACTTGGCAAGCACTTCTAAGGATAAGGGCAAGAAAAAGAGGAAGGAATATGAAGCTGCTCATAAGGGTCTAGCACAAAAGAAAAAGAAGGAAGACAAAGGAACTTATTTCTTTTGCAACAAAACTGGACATGTGAAGAAGGATTGTGTCAAATATCGCGATTGGCGTGCAAAGAAAGGTACAACTCTTACTTTGGTCTGTTCTGAGGATAATTTAGCTTCAGTACCTAGAAACACATAGTGGATAGATTCTGGTGCTACTACTCATATAAGTGTTTCTATGCAGGGCTGCCTGAACTACCGAAAGCCAAGTGATAGTGAAAGATACATCTATGTGAGTGATGGCAAATCGGTGGAAGTTGATGTAATAGGCACTTTTAGGTTGTTATTAAGAACTGGTTATTATTTGAATTTGAAAGACACTTTCGTTGTACCATCTTTTAGACGGAATTTAATTTCTGTTTCTTCGTTGGACAAATTGGGATATTGTTGTTCATTTGGAAACAATCAGTTTAGTCTTTTGTTAAATTCAAATGTTATTGGTACTGGTTCGTTATCTACATATGATAACCTATATTTACTTGATATTATTGCATCATATAATGAAACCTTGCATGTGGAATCACGTGGTACTAGACGCAAATTAAATAAAGAAAATTCAGCAAACTTATGGCACAAGCGCTTAGGTCACATATCTAAAGCTAGAGTTGAACAACTTGTGTCAGATGGTATTTTAAATTCTCTTGACTTTATGAATTTTGATGTATGTATTGATTGTATCAAGGGAAAACAGTCCAAAACAAAGAGATTAGGTGCTAACAGAACTTCGGATGTCTTAGAATTGATACATACAGATATTTGTGGACCGTTCCCTACGGCTTCCTAGAATGGTCAACAATATTTTATATCATTCATAGACGATTACTCACGTTATGGGTGCCTATATCTCATTCATGAAAAGTCCGAGTCACTGGACATGTTCAAAATTTTTAAAACTGAAGTTGAAAATCAACTCAACAAACGGATAAAGAACGTTAGATCAGATCATGGTGGTGAGTACTACGGTAGCTATGACGGATCAGGTGAACAATGTCCAGGACCATTTGCCAAATACCTAGAGGAATGTGGAATCGTCCCTTAATACACTATGTCAGGATCACTTAGCATGAATGGTGTAGCTGAAAGACGAAACAGAACTCTTAAGGACATGGTAAGGAATATGATTAGTCACTTAAACTTACCAAAATCACTCTGGGGAGAGGCATTAAAGACCATAGCTTATATTCTGAACAGAGTACCAACTAAGGCTCCTGCTAAAACATCTTATGAGCTTTGGACAGGCAGAAAGCCTAGTCTAATGCATTTTCACGTTTGGGGATGTCCAACTGAGGCTAGGCCTTATAGGCCACATGAAAAGAAATTGGACTCCAAAACAGTAAGCAGTTACTTAATTGGCTATTCTAAACGATCTAGGGGCTACAAATTTTATGATCCCACACTTAAGTCAATTTTTGAAACGGGAACTGCAACATTTTTTGAGGATGTTGAGTTTGGGGGAAGATAAAAGGTTAGAGACATTGTCTTTGAGGAAGAAGTTAAGGAATGATCGGTCTCAATTCCTACTATTACTTTTAACAATATACAGGTTTCTATACCTGTCATTAATCAAGAAGTATATCCAGAACCTCAACAAGACAATGTTGAAGAACTTCCCACCCAAAATGAGGTAATTATTCCAAAAGTACAAACTCAACAACCTCAAGAACCAATGCCATTAAGGAGATCCACGAGAGAAAGGAAAAATGCTATTCCGGATGATTTTATAGTATTTCTCCAAGAACATGAGGAAAATAATGGAATGATGGAAGATGATCCAATGAATTTCCATCAGGCCATGCAGGGTTCTAACTCTTGACAGTGGATTGATGCAATGAATGAGGAGTATAACTCTATGTAAGACAATAAAGTTTGGGATCTTGTCCCGTTACTAGAAGGTGTGAAGCCCATCGGTTGTAAATGGATTTTTAAAACCAAAAGGGATTCGAAAGGTAATGTGGAAAGATATAAGGCTCGTCTTGTGGCTAAAGGCTTTACCCAAAAGGAAGGCATCGACTTCAAAGAGACTTTCTCTCTAATTTCAACGAAAGACTCTTTTAGGATAATTATGGCACTTGTTGTGCATTTTGACCTTGAGTTACATCAGATGGATGTTAAGACGGCGTTTCTCAATGGCGACATTGACGAGATTATCTATATGGTGCAATCAGAAAACTTTGTGTCTGGAGACCCGAAGAAAATGGTTTGCAAATTAAAGAAATCCATCTATGGGCTCAAACAAGCTTCTCGTCAATGGTACCACAAATTTCATTAAGTAATTATCTCATTTGATTTTGAAATGAATGCTGTTGATGATTGTGTGTATCACAAGTTTAGTGGGAGTAAGCATATTTTCTTGGTTTTGTATGTTGATGACATACTACTTGCTACTAATGATATAGGCATATTGCACGAAACCAAGAGATTTTTATCAAGGAATTTTGAGATGAAAGATCTTGGTGACGCCTCTTTTGTATTAGGGATTCAGATACATCGGGATCGCTCTCGAAGTATTCATGGATTGTCACGAAAGAGTTACATCGATAAAGTACTTAAGAGGTTTGGCATGCAAGACTGCAAACCAGGTGACACCTCTGTCGCTAAGGGAGACAAATTTAGTCTCAAACAATGCCCGGAAAATGACCTTGAAGTTAAGGAATGCAGAAGATTCCCTATGCATCAGCTATTGGGAGTCTAATGTATGCTCAAGTTTGTACACGTTCAGACATAGCATTTATTGTTGGAATGCTAGGCAGATATTTAAGTAACCCTGGAATGGATCATTGGAAAGCAGCCAAAAGGGTTATGAGGTATTTAAAGAAAACAAAGGATTACATGCTCACATATAACAGATCGGATCAGTTGGAGATCATAGGGTCTCCGATTCTGATTTCGCTGTATGCCAAGACAGTAGAAGATCCACATCAGGCTATATCTATCTGCTAGCTGGAGGAGCTGTTTCTTGGAAGAGTGCCAAGCAGACACTCATAGCTTCTTTTACCATGGCTGTAAAGTTTGTAGCATGCTATGAGGCATCTAACCAAGAAATATGGCTGCGAAACCTTGTCACTGGGCTGCGCATGCTGAACGGCATAGAAAGACCACTAAAGTTATATTGTGACAATAACTTGGCAGTTCTGTATTCCAACAATAACAGGAGCACATCTAAGTCAAAACACATTGACATTAAATTCCTGGTTGTGAAGGAAAGAATACAGAATAGACAGATTTCCATAGAGCACATTTGGACGAACTCCATGATTGCGGATTCGCTTACTAAGGGATTGTCACCCAAGGTCTTTCATGAGCACACTGCTCGTATGGGTGTCAGATTTATTGAGGATATCGTGTTTTAGTAGGAGTTTGTATTCTTATTGCCTTATGTTTAATTGGACACATTTGTGTATTTGGATATTTTTCTGTACGGAAATAAAGTATTCAGTTCATTTCACTTTATTATTATATTCAGTATTGATCTCACTTAAGATATAAGGTTGGACCAGTTGGAAATAGACATGTTTGGATCACATAACATGTAATTTCCATACTACGCTCCCATGATTGATCTATGTCATTTGGTTGTATGGGTGTACGTGACCATTGATGGAGTGTGACGAAAATCGCTTTGATCCTACATCAATATGACTAATGGACGAGATTGTTTGGAAATACTCTTAATTATGATAGCAAAATTTGAGCTCATAAGGTTGTGCACATTTAAAATATTACATGTGTAACCCGTTCAAAATCAATTACAATTATGGATCAAATTACGCTTCCGCTTTCTTATTCTCTTTGATTCAACGTGGAGCATTGAAATTTTGGTGAAAGAATCTATTGATTTCTTTCAAATCTGAATTATCAAAAAATTCTATCAGTTTGCTCTGAATGTGCACAACAGCTCGGGATATTCCAACACTCGAGGGTTTCAGGTCATAGGTTTTCCTCAACTCTATTCCCTAAATCATTTCTTTTGAATTTTTCTGATAATTCGTTCATATTTCATCCTCTCTTTATGCTCTGTTCTGTTTCCATTTTGTGTGTAATGATCAATTAATTTGCATAAATGCACAATGTTCAATTTTTTTACATTTTTTTACTAGAAATTCTTGAACATTGTTTCTGTGTGCGCGCGCGTGTTTTGAATTTAGCATTTGGAAAATATCATTAATTTAGCCTTTTATGTACAATTTGACTGTAGTTCATTGCTTTTAGGAGTTTTAACATTTACCTGGACTTTGCAAGGGAACCAATCTTTCCTCCTTTTTTGAACCAGTAACTGGTTAGGAGTTTTGACCTTAAAATGCAAGCTGCAAAGTTGATTAAAAGCTTATCTGGCAGCATGATATTTAGGGTTGTTAACAATGACTTAAAGCTTAATCCTTGTACAGCCATTTCCTTATCAAGATACAATAGCAACAGTTTAGATAATGTGGCCATCATCTCTCTCTTCCAATAGGATGAATACAATAGACCAGCTATTTACGACAAAACCAGGCACAGATTAATCATCATTTTGTTACTAATTTAATCATCTTGAATTATTGTCTTAATCACCTGCCAATATTAATGCCAAAATGTCTATATTACATTACAGTTTTAATCATTTTGTGTAACCTTCCAATAGATAGGTAAATG